TGTGAATGTGAGTGGGAATGGGAATGTGAGTGTGAATGTGAATGTGAGTGTGAGTGTGAGTGGGAATGGGAATGTGAATGTGAATGTGAATGTGAGTGTGAATGTGAGTGGGAATGGGAATGTGAGTGTGAATGTGAATGTGAGTGTGAGTGTGAGTGTGAATGGGAATGTGAATGTGAATGTGAATGTGAATGTGAATGTGAATGTGAATGTGAATGTGAATGTGAATGTGAATGTGAATGTGAATGTGAATGTGAATGTGAGTGTGAATGTGAGTGGGAATGGGAATGTGAATGTGAATGTGAGTGGGAATGGGAATGTGAGTGGGAATGGGAATGTGAATGTGAATGTGAATGTGAATGTGAATGTGAATGGGAATGTGAATGTGAATGTGAATGTGAGTGGGAATGGGAATGTGAATGGGAATGGGAATGTGAATGTGAATGTGAATGTGAGTGGGAATGTGAGTGGGAATGGGAATGTGAATGTGAATGTGAATGTGAGTGGGAATGTGAGTGGGAATGGGAATGTGAGTGGGAATATAAATATTAATAAGAATATGAATGCGACTATGAATACGAATACGAATACGGATACGAACGCGAATATAAATAGGAGGTAAAGCGAGCAACAAGGTAAACATTGAGAGGAATGAGATCAGCAAAGGGGACCGCTTTCCCAGAGCGACGGGATCAGTGGCTCGTAACGAAACTTGGAGATAAACAGATCGCAAACTATCTCACTTCAAATTTAACAGTCAAGTTCGCAATTAAATTCTACGAGGGAGGGCTATTGTTGGACATTAGCAGATGTTCTTTCACGTTACTTGTTTAATCTTTGCTATATAAGGTGGCCACGATTACTTATAATTGGGAAATATTGAGCATGCGCGACAGATCTATGGCATTATGATCATGAATAAATAAATCATTCAAAGTAACAGTTGCGCTCACTCGATGCACTTATTTACAGGTTGCTTTATTGTAATATATACCTACACAATACAATGTAATATATTATTCTCATGATTTAAAAACGATAGATAGACAGATAGAAACAGTAACGGTAAAATAACTATAAGAAAATACAGCAGGCTACTGCTTAGCATCTGCAATGTTTCTCTTTTTAAATACGGAAAAATAATTGGCTAACAACCTGCATCTAACGTCCGGATTGTAATGTCTATTATTTATAAGGCAATATATGCGCGTGCGTCCGTGTTCGAATGCTACAAAGCACGTCCGTTTCTAAATACTAACTACAGCTGGTAGAATCTCACTCTAGCGTAGTCTATGATAACACTCTACGTTTACGTTTTCTGACACCGACCACGTAATAACTAGGATAGCCGGCAGCAGTAGCTCCTGCAATAGTGCATGTGATTACAATACTACATCTGCAATATGCTCTACCCTAATCATTTGAAATTGACACATATATATTTATTGTTACAAATCGGACACTAATTACGGATGGAATGTCTTAACAGCGTCTGTTTAAATAACGACAAGCACATATACTTGTTTCATCTGTATTCAAAAAATCTTGTGTCGAGTACAATCGAAGACCAGTCAAAATAGGTCTATGCTATAGAGTCAATGCGACTTTCTCCTTGGGAAGTTTACATCATGTCGCCACACGTAGTATATACACGCTGTGATTCCCGCGGTTCCCCGGCCGTGTATCCTGATGCCATTACTATATATGCTATGTAGAAATGTACTATATGTAGGGCACGTGAAAATTCATAAGAAGATCTGTTCTTCAGGAAAAAGACACCCAATCTAATATGTATACAGATACTAGTATACGCGCACGCGGATACACGCACATGCACGTGTACACACACACATACACAGACTCGGACACACGCGTGTACGAAGGCACAGACGTACGAACGCACAAACGCACACCCGCACATATTTATGCAGGAACACACACACGCACGCACGTACCCCTGTACGCACGAACGCACACAAGTTTGCCCCCAAAACATTTACGCACGAACGCACGCACGCACACACGCACGCACATACGCACGCACGCACGCACACACACGCACAGTGACACGCACACGCAGACGCACACGCACACGCATGCGCACACGCACACGCACACGCACATGCACACGCACACACGCACACGCACACACACACACACACACACACACACACACACACACACACACACCACACGCACGCACGCACGGCAGCATTGCTATGAATCACAGGCCTATTAACGCCTCTCATCTGCTCCTCGTTCACGCGACGTGCGCCGTTGCTAGGCAAGCGGCGGCTTCTGCGCCCGTGCTTGCCTGGTGGAGGTGCGTGAGCGGCATCTCCGTGGCCTGGCTCCACAACCTGCCGGGGATCCCCGCCGCCTGCAAGCTCGTACGCCTCCCCTTCGAGTCTGTGTCGCGCGAGCGCCGGCCCCAGTCGCTGCGTGGTTTTAATAAGCCACACCGTAACTCTGCCATAGATGGAAGACGCAGTGGAGGCGAGATCAATCAGATGGCTAATCAGATGAATCAATCCCTTAATTAATCAATGCATATCAATCCGGTGCGAGATCAGCTGAGGCTGCAGATGTATCTTCGCTGTGCGGCATTTTCGTGTGGCTTCGTAAAAATTCATATTGCGAAATTCTATTTTTAAGAGACAGACGGTGTATATTCCCAATTTCGGCGTGTATCGCGGGAAAGTCTTTTTTTAAGGATTATGAATGAATATTTGTGTTACAAACTATTTATTGTGGTCCCCTTGTAATGCAAATTCCGTGAACGTGGCTTTGTCGCTTTCGCTCAAGGTGACCCCTGTTAATTTATAGAAATTTTTCCGCTTAGTGATTGTCAGCAACGGGAAAATGAGAACCACATTGACTACCTTACATAACTCCACGCTAACAGCTGTGTCGCTCGGTACAGCCGTCACCTGCGGTATACATCTAAATTCAGGGCAGCCACACACATCTCTCTCGGTCTAATAACGATTAGAACTGCAGTTCTTGAACGTATGATGGATCCGGCGAGATATATGACGTTCTAACGATAGCCTCGCCTAACACAGCTTTTTTGTTTTAGTCCTATACGCAAGGTAAAAGCCCGCGGCCTGCATGCCTATAATAGCGGCAAGCTGTGTGGAGATACGCGTGGTTGCTCTCTTCAGCACTCTCTTGCTCGTCTCTCTCTCTCTCTCTCTCTCTTCTCTCTCGCTCGCGCGGCTTTCTCTCTCTCTCTCTTATCTCTTTTCGGAGTCCCGCCGGACGGATTGGCGCAGCGCAGCTCCCTCTCTCGCCGTCTCTCTCTTTTTTCTCTCACAACACACTCTGGCTCTCTCTCGTAACACAACACTCTGCTTCTCGGCGAATCTGGCTCGGCTCGTTTCTTTTTTTCTGCTCTCTCTCTCTCTCTGCTCTCTGCTCCGGCTCTCTCTTGGCAGCTCTTCTCCCGTTGTCTCTATCTATCTTTCCTTCTATCTCTTACCGTTAACAGACTGCCTTCCTCCTTGCAGATGGCTATCACGGCTATGAGCGGAATGAATAGTATTGAGATGACGGAGAGCACCCAGCCGATGCCGTCAGCCCACGACGGGTAGTCGTATTCCCCATACTTGAGCGTGTCGAAGTCGTACAGTGTGAAGATCAGGATCACCTACAGCGAATGAGACACGGTGAGAAGAGGACGTCGAGGTGACGCTTGACGGTAGCGCCATCTGTGGCGACTCGCGTGGTGGTGACGTAGACACCAATGTACACTAACGTAGACTGTTGCAAATTAGTGAGAGTGAAGCAAACGTTTCGAGATTTGATTTGATTTTTTTATTTATTTAAGTCGACAAGCGAAATGTCTATAGCGTTGCGGAAGCGGGTTGGGGTCACTATAAATGGAATCAGGGTCAGAGCCCCATGCTACCACCGTGTAACAGATGTCTAGCTATTATATCATCTCTCTCTCTCTCTCTCTCTCTCTCTCTCTCTCTCTCTCTCTCTCTCTCTCTCTCTCTCTCTCTCTCTCTCTCTAACTCACTCTCCCCTCTGTTTCTCTCTCTGGGGACTACATAATATTAACAGGGGAAGAGTTATGCATGCTCGCATACTTACAATATAAATATAACATAATATACAAAATCATATCAAATATACAATATAATATACAATCCTCGATCGGTGATTAGAGGACGAGGGCAGTAGGCAGGAGATTATGCTTGTCACCCACCCGTGTGTGGCCTTATGCTCCACTGGGAGTAAAGAGGATAAGTAAGTAAGTACCCACCGTGAGCAGAATTGGACACGCCCACTTCCAGATGATTTTCCAGAACAGCCTTGGCCAGGGATCGTAGCCAAGCATGTGAGCAATGTTCTCCAGAAACCGGTCCGCACCTGAAATAAGCGGCACGACCTTGATCCTCTATTACTGCTATAGGCTACTAATCGACGACCTTGATCCCCTATTACTGCTGTAGCTAGGCTACTAATCTAGGATGAACATTATTGGCACGAATATCACATAGAGAGGTTCGCCTCCAAAATATATATTGGGATATTATATTATATATATATATATAATATATATCAAATATTCAAATTAAATTTATATAATATTAATAATATATAAATTAAATAATAATAAATAGTATATATCTATAATAATATACTATATATTATATATATTAATTATAATGTACATGGTTACCTTATTTACTAATACTACTACTAGGGGTTATATATAATTAATATATATATATAGTGCCAACTATAGCTATACACATATTATTGCCCATTGGACTGTTATATTAATTAAGACTAAGTAAGAATTGACAGCTAGATTGTTGATTGATCTATCTAAGCCCTCACACCGGTAAACCCATGAGATTCACTGTCGTTCGAACGATAGCGCGATGGACAGTAACGGGCAAAGGTGCGGGCGTAGTTATCAAAAGATGTCAGCACCGTACATGCAGTCTGTTGGTGATGATGAATACATGATGCGAGGTCAGCGCTACTCATCGAGAAATATACAACGGAAGTGTAAATGTGCTGGACTCATCCCTCCTTCTTACTGCCACGGCCAGTGCACAATGCTTACATTCCACTCTGTCTCTCTCACTCTCTCTCTCTCTCTCATCTTCTCATCTCTCTCTCTTGTCTCTCTCTCTCTCTGTCTCTCATCTTCTCTCTCTCTCTCTCCTCTCGCTCTATCTCTCTGCTCTCCTCTCTCTCTCCCTCAATCGCTATCTATCTCTCTCTATTTCTCTCTCCTCTCCTCTCTCTCTTCTCTCTCTCGTCTCTCTCCTCGATCCCTCTCTCTCTCCCTCTCTCTCTCATCTCTCTTCTCTCTCTCTCTCTCCTCTCCCTCTCTCTCGTCTCTCTCTCGCCTCGTCTCCCTTCTCTCTTTGTGCTGTGCGTGTGCTGTGCGCGGTTCCCGTGCAATGAGTGTGTTACGTGCGCTGCGCGCGTTGGTGGGTGCAAGCTCTCTGTGTTGTAAGCCATATCATGAGGAGTATTATATGTGTGTCCGTGTCGTGCACGTATATGTGTAGCCGTATATGCCTATCTGCTGGTCTAGTTCTGTCTCTCCCCCCTCTCTACTCTCGCTTCTCTCTCTCTATATTACTATATCTACTAAATACTGCGCTAGCCCGCGCTCTCTCTCCTCGTTCACCTCCTCTCACACTTCATAGTGTCTCCACTTAACACTTGATTTTAATGCCCTCTTCTCTCTCTCTCTCTCTCTCTCTCTCTCTCTCTCTCTCTCTCTCTCCTCTCTACTCTCTTTTCTTCTCTCTCTCTCTTTCTCTCTCTCTCTCTCTCTCTCTCTCTCGTTTTCTCTCTCACACACTCTCTCTCCCTTGCTCTCTCACACACTCGCTCTCTGCATCTGTTCTGTAGCAACTCCGTCCCTAAATCTCTTCTAGCAAGAAATCTACGATAATACAAGAGACGTACGTTTGTGCAGAATACGAGTCCTACGAGATAGCTGATGATGCAGACGATACCCAGAATCAGCCACTTCCGTTTCCGGAACAGTTTCGGGTATTCGTCCGTGACTGCTGTGACCACCGTCTCCACGATGGTAAACTGAAATACAGACATTAAAAAGTCTGAACCATCTATCTTAATAATGGCAAATTATCTATAATGGTATGTCATGTTCATTAGGGCCTGTAACAACCACGCATGGCCCAGTATTTTCATTGGTTGTGACGTCATTGATGACTGAACCTACTAGTACTAGGTTGGTAAAATAGCCACGTACTAGAATATATTGTTGAACTATTATATTCTGCCACCGTAAACATAATAAACTAAATTTAGGGATACTGGCCGGACCAGACTCTAGCTTGCAGACGCGCTAGTGCTGATAGTGGCGCCATCTATTACCTGCGTGCCAAGTCCGAGGCTGAGCAGCATCATGAAGAAGAGAACAGCGAATATTGGCGCACCTGGAAGCCTCGCTAGACCTGCTGGGTAGGCGATGAAAGCCAGGCCCGGACCTACACAACGCGAAACCCATTACACACATACATAATCAATGCATCATCACCTTCCCGTTAGAGGGCCTCGTATTAGCCTACATGGCCAGTAAGTACACAGATATAACCATAATGAGATTATAATGATAATGAGATTTTTTTTAAAATCTCGACAGACGGATAGGCAAAGGGAAGATGCTAAAGGGTGAATCTGTTGGCGTCTTGTACGCACCTTTAGCGACGACGTTTTCCACGTCGACTCCTAGTTCGTACGCCATGTATCCAACGAGCGAGAAGATGGCAAAGCCAGCGTAGACACTCGTTAGACAGTTACCAAAGCTGACGACCAATGCATCTCTGAAGAAATGGGAGAAAGAAGGTCCTTAGATAACAGTAGTGATACCATTGAGTCATTCTAGATTCTTCGGGTTCTACAGCACATACTGACATGACCTAGTGAAATGTGATCATAAGTGATCACACTGAATGAATGAAATATGTATGTAAAATCATACATATAATAAGTACATGCATGCTCGCTATTGTCGGTACGGATTCGATGTTTAGGGCATATTGCAATATTTGGCTTCAAAGTGTCCTTTCCAATGTGTTCCCAATTATTGTCTATAGCACTGGAGCATGTGGAAAAACCAAATTTCTGTCGTCCAGATTATATAAAATAATAAAATGATACATGATTATATTAGGAAATTCACCTTGTGAGATGAATGCGCCTCTTTCTATTATATTTAACGTGTCGACAAACTGGATTCCGTTTCGCCACTTTCTAAACTTCTCTAATCTATACATCTTGCCACTGCACCGTTTATCGAAAGGTCGCGGTTTTTCGTTTCGTTAACAGTATAAGAATATAATAATAATATTAATAATAATAATAATAATAATAATAATAGTTATAGCCTGGACCCTACCAACCGTTGCCTAATTTTACCGGTTTTTGATTTTAACTGCGCGTGACGTCGTTCTGACCACTTTGAGGTTTTGAAGATCAAGTTCGTAGATAGGCTTA